AGCTCAAATCGTCCGTTGCTTTATAGCGTTTGCGTTGGGCGTGGCGTAACTTGGTGCAATTGGGCACGCCCGGCACGCCGTAGTAGGTATGAGTAGGACACCTATGTACCATGACCGGTGACGTCAGAGGGAATGCCTAATCTCTGTAACCAGACTCGAAATTACATCGGCGGTGGACACAGGGGGGATCACCGAAGACAGTGTGCGGAAAAGCTGTTTTCGACTCCCGCTACCGGCCGAGAACCTCCGTGCGCGGCCAGGGTCAGGCCTCGGCCATCGGCCTCGTACGCCCATCTTGAAACAGTCCCCAAGACTGCCTTAACCGCAAGTTAGTAACGTTCTGCCACGGACGTGCAGTAGCCAGGGAGCGGGGGTTGGTCCCACCACGCGTGCCCCGTGCTCTCCTCGATGAGACCATTGCCTGAACACCTGCGGGACCTCGTGCATTTCCTTCGAAGGATGATCATGATCGTGGGCATCGCCCATGAACGGACACATCGGTGACATTGGTTTTGACCGCACCCCGACGCGCCCACGCAGTCGGCAAACAGCAGCTTCCGAGCTTCCGAGGCTAGTAGACTCAACGTGGTAACTGATCTTTTTACCTATTATCCGCTGGAGCGCCTGGTGGGTCGGTCTACCGCATAACAAGGACGAGCACCGGGTTGGCCTACGTCGTCACTGTACTCCCCTCGGCGCCGCCGGTAGAACTCTCTGGCCCGGAAAATTAGTCCTCTTTGGTGAACGTGGCGAGTGACCGCACAGTTCAGGATGATTCACGCCAGCGACCGTCGGCATCATCAGTTGGTTTTGAGACTGGAAGCGCACGAGCGAGTTTGTTGATGGAGTGTGCGGGTCCCCTCTGTTCGCTGCCCCGCCGACCCCGCCGACCTCGAAACATTCGCGCACCCCTCATCGGCTCTGTCCCACCCCTGACGACACCGGGGCACCCTCTCCCTCACAGATACACACGACGGTCCAGCTTCGAACGAGGTAAAACCACGAACTCCCACGATTACCGCCCTCAATTTGAGTCGTGAACAGTGCGATACACCTTGACATTACGTTTGGTCGAACCCGGGCCCCGTACGCCGGGCTCTTATCAGTCCGACGCCTCGCGCCGATCAGCAGGACGGCTCGTGTTGCGGGCCTCCTTCATGGCCTCCTCTCGCCGGCGGAAGTGACCCTGTGCCGCAGTAAGCCCCTAGGGCCTGTGTACCCTCGGCAAGTAGGGGACTGAGGCCGAAAAGTGTTTAGAGTTGCATGATTATGATAGCGTCCGGTGCGCCGACGGACACAGCAAGCAACCCGGCCCCGCGCGGGGAGATAAGATTTAAATCAGAGGGGAGAGGAACACGCTCGCCGGCAACAGGACCTCAACGAAGAGCATGACACACCGTGTCTCCCTGGGGCTCACCGTACCACACCTACCACACCAAGTCCACACCATAGCTGTGCGGAGCGCCGGGGCGCGATAGGCACCTCGCCACAGTGGTCCTCGCTGTGTAGCTGACAAGCTTGGGCCAAAAGGTCGATCGGAGATCTCCCTGAAAACACCCAAAGGTAGAGCTCTCCAGGAGAGTTACTGACACTGGCTCTACTAGGGCCACAACTACCTTCATCACGGTGAACGCCTGCTGCGTGTGAAGGGCGAGCGGAAACGGGGGGAGGGGAGGGGGGCGAAAGCGGCCTGCATAGGTGGTTTGCAGATTAAATTGCCTATCTTAAGGCGGTTATCTAGAGCAACGCGACGACAGCTCCCTACTGGCAGTATTACATTGCCGCAGCCCATGCCCGACGACCCTGCGCGCGGCTTCGCGCGCGCCGGGCGGGGCG